CCCCAAAACCCCAAAACCCCAAAACCCCAAAACCCCATTATGGGCAATAATATACTCTATTCAAAATGATGCCATATATATTTTATTACTTTTAGTATTACTTAATGTTCAGGTTTAATTATTAAAAAAGAAATTCCAAATACAATTTGATACTATGAAAAATTTAATCAGAATAATTATTAGAATATTAGTAAAGTTTAATCTCTCTAATGGAATAATACAGATAAACTGAAGTTTAAACACCAAGAAAAATACCCTCATCCTCAACAGATTTTAGACAATCAGTAACCATTAATTAAGGTGACTAATAAAAAACTAAGTCAAAGTTTAAGCTGAAAAGAGGAGGCTCAAAATAATTAAAATAGAAGAAGCTACTGAGGGCAGAGTAAACTAAGAATGAAAGTTAAATAAATGCTGCAACAAAAGCAGAGTTAAATTTCAAGATACCTAAGGAAAGTAATGAAGAAAAATATAAAGATAGTCCATTTGACAAAGAAGCGAAGTTTTTCTTGTATTCTGTACCAGATTTTGGATTCAGTGACAATACTTTATACAACGAACTCTGCTCTCAAAATAATAATGAGGATGGTAAAGGATCTAACTGGCGATTTTTCTATGACATGGTAAAGTGATACCCCAAGTTTGAGAGATTAGACAAGTATATTACATGGTAACAGAGAGTTATGAAAAATAAAAGAGAAGATTCGAAGAACTCTCCAGGTAGCAATGACTTTAGTGGGAAAAATTAAAAAAGGGAAAAATAATAGGGGGTCAATTGGAGTTTAGAGATTATAAGAACGAATTAAGATGCAACTTTCTCAGGAGATGTTATATAATTAAATCCGAAATAAAAGTAAACTCCCAATGAGATCAAACTGATTGAAATAAAGAAAATAATGAATGATATGTTTGATCAATTCCATAGCAGCTAATAAAGCATTTAAGGAATCAAAGAACTAATAAGATACAGATCTAATAGTATGAACAACCATGTGGCAGATTACTCAACTATCAATTCAAAGATCGATCATATTTGGAAGTTAGATTTTACTTAATCTTAAGAAACAATCGTAGAATAAAATAATGGAAATGCACCACCAACATAACCTCAAAATCATACTCATATCCATCATTAAACTCATTCTCATTCGCATCATCACCATCACAATTATCATCATCATTATTGACCGGTCACACCTAAGATTTCCAATGATGACATATCTCACATTTAAAAATCCCCCATATAAGGATGGAAAAGTAAATTTATTTCGCACTCTGCCTTGTCATCTCCAATGAATCAAAGGGAAACAATTTCAACTTCAAGCAGCAAACCTTTGACGAGTATAACTCGCTTATAGGAAGTTAAAATAGAAGATATAGAAAAAATCTAAGCAAAAATGGGGATTTTCTATTAAGGTATTTTTAAACATTGTCTTGAAAGAATGGTTTTCTATATGCATAAATTAAAAGAATAATGCTAAGATTAAGACTAAAAGAAAAAGGAGAAGCAATTCTTGATGCAAAGGCTTCTTGTCTATAAGCACTGCCTGTAAATACTTAAAGAATCTCAGATGTATGATTTAGTTGATCTGAGATTGTTTGCTACCTTTGTTGAAATTGAATTCTCAGAGTTAAAGAATTAAATTTACCCGCTTCTCTCACTACTGAAAAAATACTTAACAAGAGACGAATAAGTAGAAGATCCATCCTACTTGAAAGTACTTTACAAAAATCTTAAGAATCAATATACTAAAATTAGATCGAATTCAGCATTATCTCAAACACTAATTTCATAAAAGCAGTAAAGTGATGAGAATATCATGAGTTCACCTCATTAAACGATATCTGATCCCGTAATTCGTCCTGCTTCTGAATCAGTAAGAAACAAACCATAATCTGAGATAGATCTAAAGCAGTAGATTAGTGCTTTGCAATAATCAGGAACACTTTCAAATGAATAGATTATAGAGGTAAAAACAAAAGGCAAATCATCTTTAAGGTATCAGCCTTCCAATGCTTTAAATACAATTGATTACGATCCTTCCCTGAACTCATCAAATAATTAAAAAAATTCAAACTTGTATTTTTCAAAGAGGAAACTATCTTTTCAATCTAAGAGAGAATGCTCAACTAGGAAGTAAAAGAATAAGGGAGATATCATGAAGAGATAATCATTAGACAATTATATGAATTACATAACTAAAAAATTCAAATTTGATGATTCTTCAATCACGATGTAGAACTAACCCAAACTCTAATAATCTAATACAATGAACCAAAGAATTACCTAATCATCGTAAATATCAACAAGATACTAGCATAGTCAGACCCCAAAATAACAAGAGTTAGAAAGCATGAGTGGATATATGGAAATCAATAATAATCGAAGCATCTTCAATGATATGTAGACCTTAAAAGAGCATTAGAACCCATTTACGAGAAAGATAATTGGGAATGTTGTAAAAAGAAACCAACTTATAAATTTACTTCCGCAATTTAAACTAGGAGCTAAGCTTGATCGATAGATTTAAAGAAGGTTTAGCTTGAGAAATTCAGTTGAAAGATCAGTTAAGGAATAGGAAAAAATTCTTTACGATTAATATAGATCGAGCCAAAACAAATGATTTTAAATGAAGTTTTAATTTCATTATTACATGATTATTGTTTTGATAGAAGCCAAACTTCTAAATGTTTTAATTGCGGGGTTTTGGGGTTTTGGGGTTTTGGGGTTTTGGGGTTTTGGGG